GTGGTGAGGTCCGTGGAACAAGAGGAACCAGTGGTTGGAGACTCTAGGTGATATGGCTGAGAACCGATGTCATCTTAACGACACTATACCGAGTCTCACCATTTTGTCGCTCCTGTTTCTTTTCTTCTCGTACTTTATATTTCTTTTGACTGCATTCACTTATCTTCATCTTGCACTTCACTACCTTTCTACTTGATGAACTGACGTGAGGTGTGGCAACTTGGACCGTTATTTAGTAATGCCTGGTCCTATGTTGATAATGATGGATTGATGGATTACTTTTTCCAGACAGTGTGAGTTTCCCCATATGAAAGGGCAAGCAAAGAATTTCCATGAAATTCTTCCTGGAAATCAGTTAGGTATGAGGGGATCAAGAAGGATCAGAGGAAAAGCATAAGCCAAGATGGATCACGCTTGATATATCCTCTACAGTAGAGCTATCTATAAGACAAGAGTCATCTGACTGAAGTAATTTACATAGGTTTTGTCCAAGTCTTAAGCTGAAAGTAACTATCTGACATTTGGAGGGATTGAGTGTAAGGCTATTTAAGAAAAGATTAGTGATCCATTTCCACTAGGAAGTTATTAAATTGAGAACAATCTGAAGAGTTGATCGGGATGATTACTGTTAGGTTATCTGCGAACTTAGCAAAGTTAGCTTCAGTTGGGGTTGGTAAGTCAGGCGAAAAGAAAGAGAAAAGAAAAGAAGAAGGAACAACACTTTGAGGCTACCGGCTTCACTAAGCAACGAAGTAAAGCGCTTCCCTCTGTATGAAGTGTATTGTCTTTTCGCAGAAGAATAAAATCAAGCCAAGACTCAATATGAATTCTGGCAAGCTTGTTTCATAAAAAAGTTCTATGATGTTTCATAACATAGTTTATTTGTTTTACTTCCAAGCCGTAAAGTTATAGAAAACAATATCAGTAGCGAAAAGTGAACTTCACAAACCAATGCTTCCATTTCTGCATGCAAATTTCACACAGCTTACTAAAACACACATACGCTCTCTGTCTCTCCCTCTCAGGCATTATCATTGTAAACAGTTATGAGACAAGGTATTAAGAAAACACTTTTTCGAGCAGAAGGATACATTCAAATGTGATAACTGCATAAGTTGTTGAGTTTACAAATCAATCAAAGCATTGATAATAATTCTCGTAGTAGGATGTTTTTCATCAGTAAACAGGCAAAACCTAAGCATAACTATAGATTACGTAAAGTTCAACTAGCGAATTCTGTTCCTAAGTACATACGATAAATTATGGTGACAAAGTTATAAATAGCCACAATCAATCATAACCAAATACATATTTGACTCTTGATTAGCTATACCAAGTTAGTTCAAAATCAATAAAAAAACAAAGGAAATAGGCATCACTAATAGCAGTATTAATAATAATAATAATAATAATAATAATAATAATAATCAGTGATGACTGAAGGTGAAATGAAAATTTGGACCGTGGCAGGATTCGAACCACTGAGTGGTTGCTGATTCGGATCCCGTCGTGGTTCAAATTTTCATTTCACCTTCAATAATCATCCAGTATCAGTAAAAGTCGTATAGTCAAAATTGTAGTGATAATAATAATAATAATAATAATAATAATAATAATAATAATAATAATAGCGGTAGGGTTGAATCACAAATTCAGTTACTGGACAATATTGACGATAAGACCGGAACGGTCAAAACTCTTAAGTCTCATTAACACCAACATGCAGGAGAAACGAACCACAAAGATGATGATAGTAGCAAGTGCTACTAAATTATACTTATGAATTCCTTTTTCTTGTAACACTGCTGAGTTACTGAGAAAAATAACTGTCACAGAAAAAAATGGAAACAGAGCAGTCTTGTATCTAATTAGTTTAAGGCTCGATCGGCTGAAAACTATCCACAGAGTCCAACTTGGATCATTCAAATCACAGTTTAAATAAATTTATTCAACCCCATCTCAAGACCAATTGTTCAACAACAAAACACTCGCTTAGTGAAGATAGATATTTATAAGCAATGACTGGATTTTTAACCCAAGGTTAGAAAAATTCATAATGAACCAAATGGTCGACAATATCCGGATAACACTTAGGACAAGACAAAATCAAATCAATTGCTCTTCAGTGACCGATAAATGTAAGTAATAAGGTCCTAAAAGAGGTTAACTATGGCCCAAGTGGTTCAGTAGTAAGGTTGCTAACTACACTACTGGGTGACGTGAGATTGAATCTCACATAAGTTATCAGTTCCCTTGACGTTGCAGATACACTATCCTGATGAGCATCAACAAGCACAAAACCGTGGTTTAGGGCTTACTGTTGAG